AAAGCAATAAGCCAGGGTCCAAATTTGCTACCTACCCAAATTAGTTTGTTCCTAAATATATTGAGGCTGAGAAATTAGGAAATGTAGGAGAAGGAAGGAGAAACAAGCTTTAAACATCTTGTTTAAATAACCAGAGTCTGGTAAGTATTCCCTTTTCCCCTTGACGGCTTGAGCTTCCTCAAAATGTAGCCAGGTGTTTACAGCAGTCTGCTAGAAAGAAAAAGGACTTTGTATTGTGGGAAGGAGCTGTTCCTTAAGAACCAGCTGTGTTGGAGTGTCATATTTTTAATGGTCAGTGCAAGACTTTACCATGTACGTGCAATGCAGGAAAGCACAGCTTCAACATAGAACATAATAAAAAAATAGAAACATACAAAAACAGTCTACGGTGAACGTAATGATATTTTCCATGTTAAAGCTAAAACATCAATTTCTCAACCCTACATTATCGTTAAAATGACTATATCTGTACTTTTGCTTGCATTTATAAGCTAATTGACTCTTTATCCATATGCAGAAATCTATACATAGTTTGTTTCCATCTCAGCAAGGCCAGATGAACCTGTAGTTGGATTCCTGTTTAACAGATACTCTTGTTGTATTAGGCACAATTAGGTCGGCAGGTTTAGATCCAGGTTTATATTTGAGTATTATGTAGAATATGGAAACAAAATGTCAACTTAATTCAATGTCAAAATTGTTATACAGTTTAAAAACAAGGAGCTGCTTTGAACTGTTGCACAAAAATAGTGCTTCTATACATCTTGGGCCTATGTACATAACAATCGAAATAATTGAATGGTGGTCATGTGGCAGTTTGAGCAGACCTGTCCTTTGTTGTTCAGAAGGCAGAATGAGAACCAACAGGTAGAAGCTTTAGGAAAGCAGAATTCAATTTAATATTAGAAGAGACATCTTAATAGTGACAGCTGTTTAGTACGTAACCAGCCTGCCTTAAGAGGTTGCAGGTTCTCCTTTGAAGAAGATATTCAAGTAAAGGTTAGATCTACCATGGAGGCTGTAGCTACACTTTACCATAAAGCTTGTATTGAACAAAGTTGGATCATCTCCAACATCCTTGTCAGCACCATTTATTTATTATTTATTTACTCCATTTGTATACCGCATTTATCAGCCTGAGACGGCGACTCAATGCGGTTT